GTCTCACCTAAAAAAAACTCCCGTTTATGAGACTAAGGTACGATTGATGAAAATATGGCCTACCTGTCCCTTTAAGATTTTTCAAATAAAATGTGTCTGATTGTATTTTTCAGTGTTAAAAGGGTTAAATTTGATTGTATTTTTCAGTGTTAAAAGGGTTAAATTTGATTGTATTTTTGTATTTTTCAGTGTTCACCGAAAGGTTTAAAAGTTTTGTCTAGAAGAATCGCGTCTAATCGATGGTTGAGTCAACTTGTAGCTATAATAGTTGTATTTATTGTTTACATTATTCCCTTCTCTTCACTGGTAAGATTATTAGTAGTCTTCTCTTCTCATTGTTTATTTGAGATGATTTTTCAACCTGGTTTCCCCCTGTTAGTGATGTACGTAATGGAAAAAATGTCTAGTTGTTCAGATGGGATAATAAACTGAGGCCCCGTTTACTACAGGCTGTACACATAAAACATCCCCCGACAGTTGGAAATCAAGAAGGGCAGGCTAATGTCACTGTCCTGGCAAATTTCCCTCATTGCACACTGCATGACATTGTCTGTCTTTATAAGCCTAATATAGGTGCAGAATTCGTTTGATCTGTGGTTCTTTACAATCCCTTTAACATAATTGCTTAGTTTTAGTGGAATTGCAGGAATCACAGACGTCTGATTGAAAATTGGAATGATGTAAATTGATGCTATCAGTGTCCCTGATACACATAAAAAATTTAGAAAACCTTTTTACAATCTCTTTAACAAGAACCACAGACGTCTGATTGAAAATTAGAATGATGTAAATTGATGCTATCAGTGTCCCTGATACACATACAAAATTAAGAAAACCTTTTTACAATCTCTTTAACAAGAACCACAGACATCTGATTGAAAATTAGAATGATGTAAATTGATGCTATCAGTGTCCCTGATACACATACAAAATTAAGAAAACCTTTTTACAATCTCTTTAACAAGAACCACAGACGTCTGATTGAAAATTAGAATGATGTAAATTGATGCTATCAGTGTCCCTGATACACATACAAAATTAAGAAAACCTTTTTACAAGACTAAAAATTGGAATGATGCATTAAACATTTTCTTTAATTGATATTAATTTTGTTTATTGTAGTTTAGGTTAGAAATAACTGATATTTGGAGTTGTTTTAGAAACCATTATAATTTATCTGATACTACACCTTATAATCTTACATATCTTATAAAAACTGTATCAAGCCTTGACGATGGTTATAATCTATGTGATAACATGCAAACTTCAACACTTTTTCCTCAGGTAAAGTAATTTTCTTAAAGGGACAGGTGTGCCATGTTTTTCACCAATCGTACCTTAGTCTCAGAAACAGGAATTTTTTTGGCTGACTTAATCAGTAATAGTGTTCACAGCTCACTGTCGAAATTTGAGCCTTCAATTCCATGTGTGTCTAGAATTATCTACGTTTGAAAGTTAAAATGATGACTCGTCTTTTCTTGAGACACTGCCATATATAGAAATAGTGAGTAAAATTCCTTGTTTGAGATATTTTTGAATTATGCAATTTTCGTACATTTGTAGTATTTCTGAAGACTATTTACATATATTCAAGACTCAAATCAACTCCAAAATGGCACATCTGTCCCTTTAACATAAAATTAACCCTTTAATCACTGGTTTTATGCTAATTTTAACCCTATGACCAAAAGGTCATATATAGGGCTGGGTAAAATGATTGAAATAATCGATTATCGTTGCTAGGAATTTATAATTTCGATTATCGATTATCAAATTTCATAATCGATTATATGTCAAAGTTACATTTTCTCCATTGTACCCGTTAACAAGTAGTAATCTCTTCTACATAGTTTCCCTTCAGCACATAACATACCCACAATAAACTATAATAACTGATCAAAACAAGAATATACTTCTACAACACATAACATACCCACAATAAACTATAATAACTGATCAAAACTAGGGTTTCCCTCATTGCACACTACATAACCATGTGTTTTATATATTTCAGTATTATACGTTCTGTGTAAGCCTGTCGTTAGTTTGTACGGCCGTCTTCTCTCAAGCAAGTTCTATCGTTAAAATGGTTTTACTG